AAGAGGAGGAACTGGTTCAGGAAGTCAGGATAAACCTTCCTCCAGCCCAGGGGGGGGGGGGTTTAGGTCTCCTCCTCCTCCTCCTCTCCCCGTTCTCCCTCTACTGCCCCCTCCTCTTCCCTTTGCCCGTTCGCCCTCTTCCACACCTGAAGGTCCCTCCACCTCCTCCTCCTCCTCCTCCTCGCTTGCCCTCCCAATCGGCGCCTGCCCCCTCCTCTATTATGGTTTCCTGGGATTCCTTCTCTCCTACTCCTCCTATCCGTCACCTTCAGAACTTGGACGGTGTTTTTAGGCTGTTGTCGACTGTTGGGCCCGGCTGCCAATAACGCTGCTGGTCATTTCCCCTTAGCCACCCCGACTGCGCTGAGGCCCCCTGTGCTGTTCTCTGGCCTTCCCGCCTCCACCCTCGTGGCTCTCTTGCGCCCCCCCCCCCATCGTAGCTGCTCTCCCTGCCACCCTTGCTCTTCTTTAGCTGGAGGCTGGAGTTGGTCTCCAGATCCCCGCTTGTGAATCCATCCGGCCACTCACGCCGCCTGACCCGGATGGCCCCCGGCAAGCCTGATCTCCTCAGATCTCGGGAGCTAAGCAGGGCCGACCCCGGCAGGATTAGGTGACCCCAAGGGATGCCTCCCCCCCAGATCTGTGGAGCTCTGCCCGGCTAGGGGCCCTGTGCTGTTCCCGGGTCCAAAGGCAGGCCTCGAGAGGGAAGAGGGCTCCCAAAGTTAGGAGCTGACTTGTGGACTGACTCCCCCCTCCGCCCCCAATGGCGTTTTCAAGCCGAGATCGGCTCAGGGGTGGCTTGCCATTGTCAGCCTCAGCTTCCTTAGGGGTCTCCCCTCCAGACACTAGCTGGGGCCGGCCGGCCTTAGCTTCCAAGATCAGTCTAGCCGGGGCTATCCAGGCCAGAGTAAATCCAGGCATCGTCCACCCTACATCGTCTCCTACAAGGGGACATGGACTCTGCTTCCCGGCACAACACAGGAAGTCCTCCTGCACACATCAGATGTCCTGAATAAGGAACCAGGGCAGCTGAATCCCTTCTGCCCACCAAAGATGCTTCGAACCACCCCAGATTGTACATCCCCATTCTCTGGGGACTGTGCTCCCCAACCCAAATCCTAGCTTTAGTACCAGTGGCTCCAAAACGGGGTGCCTCAAAGAACAAAATGAAAAATAAGATTCTTGGGTCAGCTTCACCACAAAAGAAACTTTGGCCCTACAAAAGTATGCATCCTCAGAAGGTGGACTTTCCCCTACATAAGGGGACATGGACTCAGGGCCGGCCGGAGGTGTTTCTGCGCCCTAGGCGGGGTGCAGATACCAACCTCCTGCTGGGGCCTGGAGACCTCCCTCCCTGCCGCCGCCGTCTCCTCCCTCCCTGCCGCCACCGTGCGCGTCCTCGGCCAGGGCGGCCACCGAGGGCAGCAGGTCAGTGCTGGGGCAGGGCAGGGGCCCTTCTTTCTTTCTTTCCTCCCTCCCTTCCCTCGCCCCCCCCCCTTGGTGGAGCGGCCTCTTTTGCTCGGCCCCCGGCCCCCTCTGTTGCTTCTTCCCCAGAGGGAGGGAGGGAGGGAGGGAGGGAGGAAGGGGGGGGTGTGCTTCCAATCTACACTAGTGGACTAGTGTTGGGAACAAACCACCAGAGGACCGTCCACCCGGGATCTCTTGCGATGCCATTATAAAGAGTGGGCTGTGGCGAATTCCCCCAGGAATGGAGAGGGAGTCCCTCAGGCAGCGCGCTCAAATAAAGAAGGAGCCGGGAGGGCATCCGTTCCCCCAGAGGCGCCTGCTCGGCTGCTGCTGGGAGCCAAACCTCTGGCTGGCCTGGCCGCTCTCGAGGCAGGCAGGCAGGCAGGCAGGCTCCTCTTGCTTCCCGAGGGCTTCTCCTGAAAGGCCGACTCGGCTGGGTCGCGGGGCTCCGCTGGACGCCCACTCCGTCCCGGGGGGGACTCCTCCTCCTCCCCCTCGCCATTTCTGCCCCCCTCCCTCCCTCCCTCCCTCCCTGCTCCATCTCCCCCTCCCTCCCCGCCGGTCGCCTCTGGGGCAGGCAACGGGGTGGTGGTGGGAGCCGCAGGTGGATTAGCCGCCCCGTCAATCGATTGCATATTTGCATTGCAGCCGGGGGCGGGGGGACGAAACGGGTTGCAAGCAGGGCACGGGGGGGGGGCAGAGGGTCTGCCGGGAGCGCGCCGGGCTCCTGCAGGCTGTGCCGCTGCCTCCCTCTGCCATGCTGGCAAGGTGCGCCGGCCCGGCGGCCGCCCCTGCCTCTCCTCCCGCACCCTAAGGGCCGGCTCGCACTCTAGGCAAATGCCTAGTTTGCCTAGCGGGCAAGCCAGCCCTGCATGGACTGTAGGGGTGTGTACTTCAGAAAAATTCATATTAATTTGATTTTGGGATCTCGGGAAGAATACTTTTTTCTGTATCCCAGAATATCCAAGGTGTTGTTACCTGTTTAAGATTTGTCCAAGTTATTTTTCAGGTTCTGGAACTTGGGGACCATTATTTCTTACAGAGGAACTGGATTGGGGTTGGAGTTGCTTTTTAAGCAGATGGCACCAAAATTTCAGAGAATCCAGTCCTCCCACTCTACTAAAGACACGCCAGATATCAAGAGAGTTAGACGAAAGGATCTGATGGACACCTGAAGAAGGTGTCCCCAGGGATCTCTAGGGCTCCATTACATAAAAACATAAGAGACGCCAATATTGGATCAGGCCAAAGGCCCATCCAGTCCAACACTCTGTGTCACACAGTGGCCAAAAATACCAGGTGCCATCAGGAGGTCCACCAGTGGGGCCACTATTTCCTCTAGGGCTAAGAAGCAAGTAGCCAAGCAGAACCCAAGTCAAATGTGAGAAGACAAACAAAATCAATGTCAGACATGAGAATCCAAACAGAATCACTGTCAGATGTGAGAACCCAGACAGACCCAAGGGCCATGAAGCACAGCACGTACTGGCTGGCAGTAGTAGGGGCCAGAGAGAGAGAGAGAGAGAGACGGGGTGGGGGCTTCTGCCTTTTAGAAGATTGCAAATGTGGATTTTCACACCCTTTTCATTTTGGGTGTGAGTACAATATGAAGTGATCCAGTCTTCATTTAAACCAGGAAACCATGTGAATCCAATGTGATTCAAAGCTTGAACATAGACTTCTGTAATCATCTCTTCACAGACAAATCTTCTGAAGCAGACACCTGCTGGCGTTCTGTAATTAACTGTTTACAAGACTTGCTTTTGAGTACATGATTCAATATATGGCTGATCAAACAAAGCCAGTGTTGTGATTGATTTTTGGCAGTGTTATTTATAAGTAATTGCTCTTACACTGTATTTATATTGCGCATTTTGTAACTGTATTATCACAAATGCTCTACAATCACTTTTACATGCGCTAAGATGTGTAGTATCTTATATTCTAATAGTGAAGTCAGCCAATCTTTGGGTACTTAGATCCGGTGACCGGAGCTGTTAACAGGCAAGACAGATCTTTCTACAAACCTGAAAAGGGGGCCAGCTTTGCAGGAAAATGTGAAAGCTAAAAAAAGGAACATACACTGGGGAGTTCAAAAAACCTAGAAATGATTAAAAGGAGTGCCTGTAGCTTTAAGCAAGGGATTCCCTCAATGGCTGTTGCTAGGCAACCATAGTATTCCAGGCTATAGCTTCGGTCATTAAAAGGTTTGGGGGTGGGGGAGGGTTCTTTCCAGGCCTATTTTGGCCAGGCCTAACTAGAGTCAGCAGCTGCAGGTTGAGAAATTTCTGGAGATTTTGTGATAGAGTCTGAGGAGGGGCCCCCTTATGGATCACTGCCTTGTCGTGGCGAGGGGGCTTGCGTAGTTCAATGACGCTGTGGGCTATGCCGTGAAGGGCCACCCAAGATGGACAGGCCACAGCAGAGAACTCAGACAGAGCGTGATCCCCCTGGAGAAGGTAATGGCAACCCACTCCAGTATGTTTGCCAAGAAAACCCCATGGACAGTAACAAAAGGCTAAAAGATAGCCACCCAAGACGGACAGGCCACAGCAGAGAACTCAGACCAAGAGTGATCCCCTGGAGAAGGTAAGGGCAACCCACTCCAGTATGTTTGCCAAGAAAACCCCATGGACAGTAACAAAAGGCTAAAAGATATGACGCCGGAAGATGAGCCCCTCAGGTCGGAAGGTGTCCAATATGCTACTGAGGAAGAGCAGAGGGCAAGTACAAG